ACTGCCCGTGGGCTGCAGGGGCACAGCCTGCTTCCCTGTGGTTGCAGAGGTGTCCCTGCTCTGGTGCCTGGAGCACCTCCACCCCCCCCTTCTTCACTGACCTTGATGTCTGCTGAAATGTTTCTCTCACATATTCTCACTCCTCTCTCGCTGCAATTACTGCTGCCCAATAACTTCTTCCTTTCTTAAACACTTTATCACAGAGGCACTACCACTGTTGCTGGCTGGCTCGGCCTTGGCCAGCGGCGGGTCCGTCTTGGAACCGGCTGACATTAGCTGTATCAGACATAGGGGAAACTCCTAGCAGCTTCTCACAGAAGCCACCCCTGTAACCCCCCTGCTACCAAAACGTTGCCATGCAAACCTGTTACACCTGCCCTGAAAATAAGGGCATGGACCACTGAAATACTTTGCCTCTTGTGACATCTTTGAGTTAGACAGCGTGGGTGTAGCCTGCCATTAAGGTGGTTTAGAGGATTAATACGCTCTGCATGCGATTGAACGAGACAGCTATTTTCAGTAGACTGTCTAGCAGTCTCTAGCTGCAAATTAAATTTTTGGGGGAAGCATCTCCTTCTTCCAGAAGAAAATGACATTGGAAGAACTAGAGGCAGGAGGATAAAGCTGGACAAATTCAGATCAGCTGTAAGGTGAAAAATTGGCAGACTGTGTATTAAGGTTAGGGGTCTTTCTAAGATGTGTGTTCATCTGAAGCAGATACTGTGGATTTGGTGCAGAAACTACCACGTGAAAATGTGTCCATGGATTTTTTGCACGGATGATCTAAACATTAGATCAAGTAATTGTAATGATCCCTTCTGGCTTTAAAAGCCTGGTGAATGTAAATCACAGCGAGACAAATGAGAGTTACGGATGGTGTGTGGTTTTAGCTTTATTCTGCGTCCTTTATTACTACATTGCATGGTTGAGGTTGTGAAATTGGTTTTATTCTAGAAAGCAAAAAATTTTCCTGAAAGTGGACTTGTTTGATGAAGTGATTGTGGAAGGCAGGGTGGATGAAGTACTTCTTTAAACCTGTTATGTATTTATGTGATATTTCTGTTGCAGCTTTCCTTTTCTCCTACTACACCCATGAGCAGCCACGTCAGAGTCCTGACCCTGCTCATAGCCATGCTCCTGTCCTGCTGTGGATTAGCAATCATCTGTGGTATTATTGGCTACGCTCATGGCATGCACACGCTGGCTTTCATGGCAGCAGAGGTGAGACATCCTTCATACGTGTTGTGGTTTCTGCTTTGCTTTTCACCCCTCACTTGGGGGTCTCCTGGCACGCGGTGGGTTTTCTTCTAGTTTCCCACAAGGAAGAAACACCAAAGATGCAAACAAGCCCTCCCCTCTTTTGGAGTAGTTGCCAGGTCTACATGCTTTCTCTCTCTAGAGTTTAAGCCTGCAAAAAAATCTTTGTCTGAAGAAGAGAATGAGAGGATAAATCTGTAAGATGATGCTGAAATCAAGTGGCAGCCTACGAAAAAATAATGGTTATTCTTCACGAGCATTGCAAGACAGTTTAGTTGAAATGGCTGCTGGAGAGAGGGAGTGTATATGGAAGTGTAATGTGCACCTCAGCCTCTTTCTCTGAGGTATTTTCTGTTTCATTTCTCCTCAAAAGGAATGAGGCTAACATCCTTTCCTTAAGGCCTACTCCTGGGATTTGCTTATGTTTGTGTAAAGAGTTGTGTCTCAGCTGAGATGAGCAACACATGTTTGCGCACTCCTGAACACTTTACAGCGTGGAGTAAACATCAGTGTGTTTTTGGTGTGGTGGTGGGTGGTTGTGCTCTGGCTGAGCAAATGATAATCTTAAACAAAGCAGGGGTAACCAGTTTAATTAGTAAGTCATGCAAGTAGGTCGTGTTAGCACATCCTTAGTTCAGATAACAAGTAGCATCTATGGTTTATTTTTCTTGTATCTTGAGTTCATGCTTGGAGTTAGTAAGGAGGGAAGAAAACAGTCAGCTGATTGTAGGAGAATATGGTGCTGGTCACACCACAGTTCAGTTGTTTAAAATGTCAGTTTACTTTTTCCCTAAATACGAGAATATGCCAGGCCAGGTTTGTAATTACACAGTGGAAGAGTATTGATGATTTGTCAGTGGTTCTAATAGGTGGGGGTCTCGATGTTGTGTCTCTTACCTTGGCTTGGCAGAAGGATGTATCAGCCTTGCAGCGGCACAGGGTAGGCTTATCGGGTAGTGTTACAGTGCCAAAGTGTTGCCTCGTTAGCACTGCACCATGTGGTGGTGTATGTGTTTGGGGTTGCAGGATGGGGCTGGGGCCAAGCTACTCGTTTTGGTGGGAGCTGTTCTGCCTGCTTATTAACAAAGGAGTGGCTCAGTCAGCATAAGCGTATGGTCCTCAGCCAGGCCATGGATCCTTGCAGCCTGCGGTGCTGTGGGTGGGCAGCAGAGGAGGTTGGTGGGGAATGGATAGGAAGGGGTCTCCTACCCTTGCTTGCAGCAGTTGATGTTGGAGGATGTTCCTGAGCTGAGGGTTGCACAAGCCTGTGGTGTTTGATAGCCTCAGACGGACTCAGCAAAGTTGTCCAATCGTTTATTGAACTCGTTTATACTTTAGCCTGTGCAATATCCAAAGGCAACAAATTCCACGTTTAACTTGGCTTTGTGTGCACTAAAAAGGTCTTTTAGTTGTTCTGAATCTTCTGGTTGATAATGTTGCTGCCTGTCATCTGATACACTTATGGTGAAAACCTGCAAGGAATCATTCCCTGTTTACTCTTGCTCATACCATTTCTGATTTTATAGACCTTCCTCCTGTTCCCTTCTGACTTTCTTTCCAAACAAAAGAATTCTAGTATGTTTAATCTTTTCTTGTATGAAATTGTCTAATATCTTGCTCTTTCATGAACCTTTTAAATATGCCCTATATGGATTGGGTGACCCTGGGTAGTTTTAATATCCAGCACTCATGTAAGTGGAATAAAATTTAGGTTTCTTGCTCTACAGGCACTAGCAGTGACACCTCGTGGCAGTCCTCATGCTCTCAGCAAAAAGCATTAAATCTTGCAGGCAAAAATGTTTTCCTGGTGGTGGCTTGTGTGATGCTGTTCGAGAGGGACCCTGCCCAGCGTATTCCATTAGTGTGTATTTAATTACATGAAGTTACATTAAGCTGTTCATCTCTCTCCTGACTCGGCAAACATTGATTTATCTTGATGCCTCAGGGTTTTCAGTAAAGCAATATAGATATTTTTCTTGGGTTTTAGTTAGGCTTCCCCTTGTTCTTTGGTGTTTGTCAGCATTTTTTTTCCTGCAAAGGATCGGTGTGAAACGCTCAAATTCTCAGAGAAGATTGAATAAAGACAGTCTATATTTTTGAGTAAACATTAAGCTTTTTTGCCTTAACATATGATACTTGAGAATTGTAGTATAGCAGGTAATGTCCAGTCTATCTGTCTTTGCACTGTTTTTTATTGTAAGAAAGAATTACTCCATTCCTATAGCAGCCATCCTCTGATCCTGTTTCATACATCTCAGTTAATGATAGTGATACTCAAATCTTAGAATTGTACCTTACAGATAATAGTATATTTTCCTGCATAGCTTCTCATATCGCATCCATTCTCTTAGGGTTTGAGTGCTTTCGAGTCACGTGCTAATCTGTGTGACTGGTATCTGTCAGTATCACGGCATCAGCGGGGAAAAAGCAGTTCATTTCAAGCAGAGCGAGAGCTCTTGGGGTGTGGGTGATGAAAATGGCCTACAGTGCATTTAGAACCTCAGATTACAGAGTTGTGTAACTTGCGATGCTGTGTTTTACTTCCTACAAAGAACTTCTTGTGTCAGAACAATGAAGTGCATTTTTGGAAACAGTGGAGGAAGCAGAGGCCAGTGCCTGGGCCAAATCTGCACTACCTCATCCTTTTAATTTTGATGCTTCTGCTGCCTCAGCGCTAACCAGTATAAATCATGTCTTGGCAACATTAACTTAAAAGTTGCAAAGACTAGGCTTTTTAGATTTCTACCTGACAGATGTCTCCTTGTCAGGGACTTTATGCCAAGTGTACAAATTTGTGCTCGATGGCCTATCCATCCAGCAGCTCAGGTAATCATTCTGTTTCACTACTTGCATGGTTAGAATTTGGACATGCTTACTTTTCCTCTGTGGTCTGCCCAAAGTTTCTCTGTAGCTAAAAAGCTTGTGTGAACAACGTGTCATCTCTTTCTGGTACCCACACTTGGGGTAATGTGAGACAGAAGAGGGTCTCATAACGTGCCTCACAGGAGCAGCTAGCAAGTTAGTTTAACTTTTTAATGAAAAGTGTTTGTGATGAGAACAGCACACTGTGCTAGGTGACTGGCCGTTACCTCCTTGACTTTTTTTTGGTGTTATTTGAATGATGTGTGTTTATCCTGAAGCCCTTATTCGGATAAAAGATTGCACTGATGTTTAAATAGTCACAGGAACACTTATTTGAAAGCCAGCTAGTAAACAGTTGGGAGGTATGTTGGATTTTACTATGGGTTAAATATGCATAGGAGCATTTTAAGAATGCTTTTTGCAGATGGAAAAAAATTATTCAAACCAACTGTTTTATTGCTATGTTGGGAAGTTAGTGGGTTTAGTAGTTCTTCTGTACTCTTTTTAATACTTACGCTGAAGGCATGCCATCAAACCAGTTTTACAGAACCACAGCATGGTTTCAGTTGCTCATTGTAAATGCCCTGCATCTTGATGTCAGTTGGTCCCTCCTAACTACGGGGTAGTGTGGGCAGTCTGAAGGGGGTTCTCCTGATGCATTTTCGTTCACTGGGAGGATGCAGCAAAGGGATGGGGCACTGTGGGCCTGACAGATTAGAGAGAGGTGATGGGGCCACGTTTCTTAGATGATAAGAGCCCGTGGAAATGTGGTTAGGTATTCTGGAAACAGTTCTTTCTGGTATCTTGTCTTTATGCTTCTGATCTCTACGCTTTCTGATCTACTCAGGTTTTTTTTTTCTCTGTACTTAGCCTAGGGAGGTAAGTGTGATTAAAGAGAGAAGTTACTTTTGCAGTGTTCATATCTCAGCAAAGGGCAAAATGATTTGAAAGTGATTCTGTGGTTCTTCCTCAAATTCCTGCTACTATTCTGTTCTTCAGATTTTTCTTGAGTGGTGGGATGGGGAGAGGTAGTTGGTAGGATTGTGGTCTCGACGCTTACCAAGTGATAAGAATTGAAAAAAATAATATGTCCTCTGTAGTGGGGGAGAAAGTGAGACTTAACAACAGCTATTCTAGTGGCTGCTCCAAGAGCATTGTGTTTGAGAACAATTTCTTCCATATTTATTTCTAAGCTTCATATTTGTCACAGGTACACTGTGCAGACAGTCATCTACAGTGACCATTGGTTCACAGGAACTTGTTACGCTGCAGTAAATGTGTTTTGTCTTCTAGCCCTTTAGCTCCTGCCTCTGGACCACTGTCCCTGCCAGAGTGTTGTTAACATACCTTTTCTTCCCCTCTTCTGCAGTCTCTGCTTGTGACGGTCAGAACGGCTCATGTGATTTTGCGGTGAGTAGGTTATGTTTTGCAGGATGGTTGGTCAAGAAAGTAGTGCGTACAGCGTGTTGATTTAAGAGGTGTATGTAGTTAGCTTGGTGCATTGCAAATACATCTTTGGAGATGGGCAAAGATGGTTAACTTCAGCCTGGGCTATTTTTAAGCATGAATTCTGCAATGCATGGATAGTTTTAGTGGGTGCTAATAGTTTGAGGCATGGATTAAAGTGGGTTTGTGCTGCTGTATGAGTGTTGGTATATGCTACTCAGTGTCATGTTACTGGGTTTCTTTTAAGATCCTAATCTAAAACTTTTGTTTTGAAAAAGCAGAACGTGTGTGTATCTGTAATGCATGTGTGTATGTGTATGTAGGGCATGACATGTAGCACAGAACCCCTTTGTCCAGGTCACTATAGGCATCTCAGGTCTGTCACTAAGCTGTGACACCTCACCTGAGAAACGCCTCTTGTGTTGAAAAATGTGGGTCTGTAGGTACAATAATCCCAGGATTGGCTTTTGGTACATGCAGGAGTTTTTAACAAATGCTACATCATCTCTGTCAGCTGGTGGTAATGCCAATGTGGACTAAGCATTGATTGCTTTTTGCCTTTTAAAAATGTTGCTGTTTGAAACCAGTAATATTAAAAAAAAAGTCCCCCAGGAAAGCACAGAGTGTGGGCACTGGGCTTAGGAAGGGTAAAGAATCCATATCCAGAAGTTGTCTGAAAAATGGATGGAATAGTTTGAATGTTAGAGAGGCTATTTAACAAAAAAGATAGAATAATGTTAATTTCCCTGCTCTTGCAGATATGTAATTCATCTCTGGGATCTCAATCATGAAGGAACATGGGAGGGCAAAGGCACATACGTCTACTACACGGATTTTGTCATGGAGCTAACCCTGCTTTCACTGGACTTGATGCATCATATTCATATGCTGGTATGAAATACTGGGCATAATGTTGAGCAAATAGAGTGGTCTTAAAAGAAAGGGTACTGGGTATACATATTTTATATGGTTTTTTTCCTTTGCTTATTTTAGGAACCAAATACTATAGAGAAGTTGTTTAAAGAGGAAGATGCAGTGTGAGGGGTTCTGGCATTCTTTCCTCCTGTGTAATTGGAGTCCTCACAAATAACTTTGTTACGGACTGTTAACTACTGTGTAATTATCTGTTTAATAGGTGTTTAATTAGCTTTGTTACTGAGTAATGTCAGACTAAATTTTCATTGTCAGCAGGGGACGTTAAACTGAACAGGACTGAAAACAGTTTATCCTTGTAAATGCTGTGCTGCTTAAGTTGTATCTGAAGGTGTAACGAGTAGTAACACCTGTGAACATGTGTGGTTAGTCTGAATAGTCTCAACAATAAGCAAAACTTCTTCAGTGCTGATTTCTGGATTTCTTTTTCTCTTAAGACCTGATGCAGTTTCTTGTGGCAGCCTCTTGCTTCCTATGGTGCTTGCTTCTGACCACCGTTCTGTTTTTTCCCCAAGCTGTTTGGCAATATCTGGTTGTCAATGGCGAGCCTGGTGATTTTTATGCAACTGCGCTACCTGTTTCACGAGGTTCAGCGAAGAATTCGTCGGCACAAGAACTACCTGCGTGTGGTTGGAAACATGGAAGCTAGGTGAGCCTCTTACTTGCTCTGGTATCTTGATGCGGATCCTGATGAGGAGGCTGGGATTCTTTTATCTTCCTTTGATATCCGACAGCATGCTGTAAGCTGGAGAGATGCAGTCTTGCAAATCTGGCTCTTAAGTCTTTACACTTAGTGTATGGTTTTACCCATTTTATTTGTTACTGGGGACACCCTTTCTGGTTTTAACAGATATGTGGGATTGATTTTTGTAATAGCAGTATTGCTGGTAATATATTACTGGCAACAAGTGCACTCCCCTGTCCAGTATTCCTTCTCATGTCTTCTCTTGTATACTACCCTCGTGGAGTGACATAAGCTCTGCAGAGTTCTGCCTGTTTCAGTTGTCAAATATTGTCTGTGGCTGCAATAGAAATAAATGCTTTTAATTTCATTAGGCGGTACTATTCAGTTACGGCCTGAAATGAAATCAAAATATTAATTAAAACCTGTTCAGCTTTAAGTATGCACTTATTAAACCTGAAGCCAACGCTAAACAGACTGTACTTATAGTGGAGCTGAGAGCACCTTGGGATTACTTCCGTCCATCCCCTTGTAATGAGGCGATATAGAGAAATCAAGAGGTCTGCTAAAACCTAGTATTGTGCCAGATACTACTGATGCAACTCAGCTGTGTCCTTAATAATTTTGAAAGCAACAGGGAATTTTACTCTTTCTGTACGTCGCTGTACCATTTTCATAGTGGGTTTCTCTAGCTCAGATGCCTGCTGCTGTAGTCCAGATGGAGAAGGCTGACTTCTCTAGAAATTCCGAAGATTTTCTTTGTGTAAAATCATTTGATGGCTTAACATGAGGTTAAGAGCTGCATAATAGAATTCATCCACAGTGCATTGTTTCTTTTCAGTAAAATGCGGCCACTAAACCCCTTTAAGCTGCTCACAAAGCTGTTTGAGTTGTAGATGTCTCAGACTTCTTGTCTGAGTGGCTTGCTGTGTTTTTGTCATTCTGATTCTTCTGGAAGAACCACATTCTAGCTTCCCCCTGAAGCTGCCAATGGCAGCGAGCTCCCTGCCTTTCTGTAGTTGTAATTCAGGTATATTCCACACCAGCAGAACTGTGAATTGTTAAACTGCTCACCTCTAGGTAGTAGCTGCTTGCATGGTCCTGTAGTTTAAAAAAAAAAAAAAAAAGAAAAAAAGAAAAAAAAAAAAAATCTGAGGCCAAAATTAGTCAGACCTTAAATACTCATGATCCCAAGAAGACATTTTAATGGGTACAGCTATTAAAGCTCATTTAGAAAAATGACATAAGCCAGATCTATACAGATTATTACTTGAGCTTCCCACCTAATGATCGTGCTTCTTGGAAGATACTAAATCAAAGCTTTTTGCACATAGGACGTATGTGGAGATGTGCAAAAAAATGTGCCTGTAAGAAGGTATGGGAGGGATGTGTGTGAGCCTGAGTTCTGGAAAAAAATAGCAAACTTGCTGGCACGCCTGCCGTAAGGAGAAGTTAACATGGAGGATAAGGTTTTCTCAGTGTGGGATTCTCTATGCAGGAGGCCGTGCTGAGCTGGTGTAGTCATTACTTCTGCCTCTTCCTTTTTCTCCTTTGTAGGTTTGCAGTTGCAACACCAGAGGAGTTAGCAGCCAATAATGATGACTGTGCCATTTGCTGGGACTCCATGCAATCCGCACGTAAACTCCCTTGCGGCCATCTCTTCCACAAGTACGTTTCTGGGGCTGGAGAGGGTGCATCTGACTGCAGAAAGGAAAGGATATGTGGGCATGGCTGAGAGTTACAGCAGGGTGACAAGTAACGAACTATCAGCAAAGCTGTGAATGCTCACTGCCTGGGTCAGCTTGCTGTGCTTCCAATAACAAAGGACAAGTCATGTTCACTTCAGTCATTTTCATGTTACGAGTTGTTTCACCTGGTGCATTTTTTTCCCCCTAAAGTAAGAGTATGCATCTCGTCGACTAACAGGTAGATAATGTTATGTTATCTCAACTGCAAGTCTGTGCCCTGCCTTGCTGTGTAACTGCTTGGTAAAGCATGCTGTTTTCCCCATTGCTTTATCCTTTATTTATCACCTCTTCCATGAGGGTGTGTTGATTTTCAGGTGAGGAAGAAAAATTGGACCTTTCAGATCAAGTACCTTTCAGATATCAGCTTTAAAGAGAAAATGGGGAATATTTTCATATAGTGTGTCCTTGTGTGGTGAGGAGTCCTCCAGGACGGTTGTGGAGGCCAGGTTTGACTATATGATTTTGTGGGGGGATGAGTCCATCAGGGCTGTAGAGGAGGTTAACCAAATTAGCTGAAGAAGTCCCTAAGCAGCTGGTAGTTGGAACTGGGAGGCTCTTGGCCAAAGTATCTGTCTCTGTACTGTTTCTTACACTCACTCGTTAGTGAATAGTAGCAGATGCTTGTGGAGGCAGCAGGCTGAGCTAGATGTGCCTTTTCTTAGATCTTTCGTAGCAGTGCTTACATTTTCACACTTGTGTTTAAAAGTGAAAGAAGATACAGGGATTGAATTGGGAGTTTCTGAAGTGCCGTGTGATTAACATGCATGGTCAGTTAAAATGTCCCTGTGGTGTCATATGAGCAAGTTACTTTCTGCAGATAGCTTTTTGCTTCTCCGGTAACTGTCAAACCAGAGGTTGTAATCTGTGTGCTAATTTGTTGTCATTTATGACAAACCTTGCCATAAATATTTATCTTTGTTCCAAGGAGTCTCTAATGAGATAATGTGCCTCCGTAGCAGAAACTCCTCTTCCAGTGCTACTGAATCGTATGAATATTTAATCACCTGCTGAGCACTTGAGAAGCCCAGGGTCTTCTCTTCAGAAAGTTGTTTTCTCTGTATCTAAAAGGATCCTTTTTAATTTTTTTCTGAAGCTATGTTACACTTACCTACTTGGTGCATTTAGGGAGGGAACATGTTACAGTGGATGACTTACGCTTGCAAATAAAATGAGATGTAATTAATAACCCTGTTTACAACTTAAGAATGGTTTCTCTCCTCATAAAAGCCTTGTGATTTTTGCCAACAGGCTAAACATTGTGTCCCTTCTCAGTTATGTGGGATTTTTTTTTCGTAGTCATTTATTTGGAGTAGAAGAGAAGATGGCAGGGAAGGTTCAAACCGCTGAGGTCAACTCTGTGCCTAAATGTTAAGAAATTTTAATGGGAGTGGGTGTTTGAATCTGCTAAGCTCTGTTGAAACTCCTTTATCTTTCAGGAAGCAGTCAATTTCAAGAAGGTTGCTGCTCTGAAATGTTGCTGACCTCGACCTCTTGTTAGGCATCCTTCTGCTGAGGTGCTGTAGGTGACTGAGCCCTTCTGCCTGTGCAGTACACAATGGCTGTAACCGTGGCTGGGTTGCTGCAAGCCTGTAGGGCTTGGTGCTGGTGTAGGCTGAAAGGGGTTCCTGTCCGTTCCAGCATCTCAGCGGTCGAGGAGCAGCAGTGTGATGGTAGCTTGTGGCACTCCGGGTATTTCACAAGTGACCTTTTCGGTGCAACTGTAGCAGAGGTTTGAGTTTGCTGTGTGCAGGGTGGCTTTGCTATAGTAGTGGAGATGAAGTTGGACAGCGTCGGCAGTGCTAACCAGCTGGCCGTGCTGATGGCCAGGGTGGCGGAAGGTGGTAGGTTTTTGCTGTAGTACTTTGGTTGTTTCTGGGAAACTCATTGCTGATTTCTGAACACTGTATATCCCTCCATTTAAATATGTTGAAAACCACTTTGACAGTGTGGTTATACACTACAGCTTCAGGAGCTGTGCAGGGTGCTTGTATCTTTGACTTTGCCGTAGTCCTGCAATTGGGGCTTTTTCCTTGCTCTGACAGCGCAAAGCTGTGATCTGTGCTTTTACTACATTTGCAAATACACAATTTGGGAAACGGGTTTATTTGATCTTTTTGTATGTCTCTACTTTTCTAAAGTGTTCTGAGAGCTTCTGCTGGGAAAAAAACCACCCTGCAAGCGTATGATATAGAGATATGTTCAGTTCTGTGAAATTCAGTTATTTGGTATGGAAAATTAGGTTTAACATGCCAACAAATACTGCAACTGGGTCATATCAGTCTGCATCAAAAAGTAGGCTCAGCTCTGAGTGTTTAAACATGCATTTCAAACACTTCTCACTTTCTGCAGGACAGCAAGTGTTCAGAATTAAGTAAACATTGTAATGACACAGCACTGATTAGTATTAATAAATCTGTTTAGAGAGTTCCCGGAGTGGCACTCAATTGAGTGGTGATTTGGGTATTGATATTTTTTAAAAGATGCTTGAAAAACTTTGGAGATGCCATTGCCACATCACAGTGGCAGAACTGCTTTGAAAATATGTCAATGGATTTTAAATACTTGTCCAGTTGTTCTTTTTCAGTTGGGGATGGTGAGAGAGGAGAAATGCTGTTTCGCCTTCCAGGCAAAACTTGCTTGTTCTGAGCTAGAGGAGAAACAAACTTGGAGAGTGTTTTAAGTTTGTGATGAATCTGCATGCTCATTTATAAAAAGTGAACACTGAAGTATTTTTGGCTAAAGGAATAAGAGACCTATACCAGAGTCATCAGGAGCTCATCACGCATGCCTCACAAGTTATCTCAGCAGTCCATGTGTTGACATTCTGTACAGAATATGCCACAGCTGCCTGATGTACTCGTGATACTGATGTCTTGGAAAAACGTTCCAAGCTCACCATAATATGACTCTTTTCCTGTCAGCTCATGCCTGCGGTCCTGGCTGGAACAAGATACATCTTGCCCCACCTGCAGAATGTCTCTTAATATCACTGACAGCCATCATGTGAGGGAGGATCACCAAAGGGAAAATCTGGATGAGAACCTGGTCCCCGTGGCAGTAGCAGAAGGCAGACCACGCTTGAACCAGCACAATCACTTCTTCCACTTTGACGGTGAGCTAAGCTGATTTGACATCCGATGCTGTTGCCCAAATAAATGAAGGGAACAGAGTTCTGTAGGAGGGAATTGTGTCCATGCTTCAGTTGAAACTTACACTGCGCTTTTGCTTCTGTTTGTCAAACATGTAGATTACGGTTCTTTTGCAAGAGCTCAGATACTTGTCTCTGAGATTGTCCAGAGCTACAGAGATTTCTTGAAAGATTTTGTAGAAGTGCTCCCTTTTTCTTGATTTGTTGCGGTTAGCAGCATTAATATTGGCGTTTATTCATTGCCTGACATGTTGATGGACAAAGTGGGAAATTCCTGTGTCTGATTTTGTAACCAGGTGGTGGTTAATAAGTGACAGTCAAAGAGGAAAAAAAGGTCTGTGGTGCAGTCTAAAAGTTGATCTTTCCCCTGTCACCTAGCTGATGTGAGGTTGTCAAAAGTCCATTTACCACTCAATTTACAAGGAACCTGCAATGCTTGGTTAGGTGCAGAAGCTTATTCTTAGAAGGAATCATGTGACCAGAACAGTTACATGTTGCTTTTTCAGTGGGGTGTTACAAGTGCTCACAAAGCTGATGTGATTTCAGACTATGATGTGTTCTGTGTGTGCAGATAAACTTGTTCTGAAAGAGACAATTTCTGTTGCTTAACTTGCAGATTTTTTTATAGTTTTGGTATCGGTATGTGCTTGTCTTCCACAGTGTCCCAGGTTTTTGATGGCAGTCTTGTTCTTTCTCAGTAGGTTTCACTAGAGCAAATAGCTTTGGGCTCTGTGCTTGTGGAACTCTCATGGTGTAGCTGAGATGCTGCAAACGTACATGGTGACCCGTTGTTTGTTTGTGCTGGTTTTGCAGTCTTTGGTGGTTGTCGGAGAATAGTGGGCAGAGAAGGGTCAGACATTTCTAAGTACACTGAGACTGGCAAATAGCTTCTTGCATGGCTCCCACTTTTAGGGTGTTTTAGGTCTCCAAAGGACATTATATTTAGAATACCGCTCTGGTTTTTGATAGCTGTCCTCCCCAGTGCTCTCCTGTGGCTTGGAGACCTGCAAAATTACTGTAGAGACAGAAGGAGAAGGGGCACAGAGCAAACCCTGTGTTTCTTTAAATGGAAGCACAGAAGGAGGAGGGAGCCAGCCGTGTGCCCTACTCTGTTGAGCCTAAGCGCACAATTGCAGCGGTCACTTTATTCAGTTACTCTGGATCCCTTTGTAGTAATATTTTCTCAGTGATGCCAGCCATGTGTAGCTGACCCATTTTGGGACCAGATTTATCCTGTTTAGAAGCTGGCCTGTTTTTAGTAGAATTGCTGGAGTTATTCATGTATTCCGGAACTGAATTTGGCTCTGGATTATTTTAAATTTTCCCTTCAATGGGAACATTTAAACAAGAAAGTAAGGGTATGTTTTCTTCATCTTCTTCCTGCCCTCAGAGTGTTAAGCCACTACGACAGTGTGTTTGAAGAGAGTATCTGTGGTTGCTGATTTACTCCAGCCATCTCCATGTTTGGGAGACCTTAGGGATGGATTGCACTGCAGGACTCCCCATATATACCTTGTGGAACTGTGAAGACTTATGTTAAATACGTGTAGAAGTACTTCACCTGCTGAGAATGTCATATTCTTGCTTGACTGTCTTGTTGATTTCTTGTTCTCAGGCTCTCGAATTGCCAGCTGGCTGCCCAGTTTTTCAGTAGAAGTGATGCATACTACAAACATCCTCGGTATCGCACAAGCCAGCAACTCCCAGCTTAATGCTATGGTAAGACTGCTTTAATAGGTTGCACCTCAGCCTTCCTATTTGGGGGGTTGGGGTGGGAAAGTACATGTAGATGGAGAACATAAGGGGGAAGGAAGGTGTTTAGATGCTACATGAAAGCTGCTTTTTTGAGCAAGAGAAGCTTTATTTTAGTAAAATTAGGGCTATATGTTGATTTAAATGTGTAAACATAAAAGAACAGGTCTGGAGGTAGTTAAATGAGGGAGAAAAATGTCATGTACTTTCTGTGTAGATAGGCAGAGTTTTTCTCAGCTTGCTTGGTGCAACTGGCTTTTTTTCAGTACTTATCTCTTCACTCACAACTCGCAGTAGCAAAGGATGTGAGCCTGTAACCAGAGAATTTAGCTGTTGCCCAAGTGGTAACTGATCAAAGCCATTCTGTGGCTTTTGGGTTCTTTTAGTATTTATTTTTAATAGTGCTAAACTCCAAGATAGCTGTTTCTGTTTGAGTATCTTGTCAGCTTGAGATGGGGCTCTGTGTAGCACAGTTGAACCTTGCTGATTCATGATGATAGGAGTGCTCAGGATGAAATCCCAGGTTTGTTGACTTCATGCAGAAACACTCTAATGTAGTACAAAAATGAGTTTGCTCTGTCCTTTGAGTTCTTAAAGCTAGTGTGTGCTGTAGCATGTTGATACATACTCAGTGAGGTATCTCATGAAAGTGATGACACTTTCTGAATGTGAGATCTCTCCGATAGCCTTCACTACAGTTTAAGGCTCAACAGGATAAGGCCACAATTTTGGGGGGGTTCGAGACAGGGTGGGCAGGGAGCGGTAAGGTATTGGCAGATGATTTGCTAGTTAAATATGCAGGAACTCTCCATCTAAGGTCAGTTTAGTTTTTCTTTTACTGGACAGAGTGACACAAATAGTCTTTTGTTAAGGATAAGTAATGATTTCTTAGCATTGTGTACTATTAAAAGTACAGTAGCAACTTATATTTAAATGCCTTTTAAATGGAAAGGCCCAGGTTAGCAAACTATTAAAGCGTTAACACATTTTAATAGAAAATAAGGGAAATTCTCCTTTTGTGTTAGGGAATAAAAAGCTAGGGAAGTATTTCGAGGGAAAGACCAGAGGCTGAGATGCTATATCGGTTGTTTTGGGCACAAGTTAGTACAATGGAGAGTTAGGTTTGCTGTAGTTGCTTGTGTTTAAACTGTCAGCTGCTACATAGTTTTTGCTCTGCTCTCAAAACTCCTTCCACCCTTCTTTTTTTATTGTTGGTAGATCTCATTTCCCCCCTCTCACCTGTAATGTTCAGCATTAGTTAAAATATAGATTTTAATGTTTAATGAAGTCTAGTTGTTGGGCTCTAAAAGCGTATTATTTGTCTGTCCTCTTTTATCTGTTTAATTTGGATATTATTTAAGTGTCTTGAAATTCAATAATAACAGTTTCCTAACAACTCAGTTTAATTTACTTGGGCTTTTGGACCCCATTAAACGGGTTTGTAGGCAAGGTGGCTAGAAAGAGTAGGTTATTAAAACTCATTCCACTTGTCCTTACCAGTATCATTTTGGAACCCACCTGGGACAAAGAAAAATTATTTTCTTCCAGTCACTCATGTGAATTTTGTATAGATTTTTATTTAAGAAGCTGTCATAAAGAGGGTTGGGAAGCTTTTGAAGCCTTTGTGCATTTACAACCACTGTTCAGTAACCTAAATTTTCAGGGCCATGTGGTGTCTCCATAGGAGTTGCAGTTTTGCTGCTGACTTCAATGGAGTCGAAATATTGCCCTGTAAGTTAATGCCAGCGTGGGTTTTCATTCTCTTGGTTTTCTTTCTGCGTGTGGGTTATTGTAGCATAAACAGCATCTTTGAGCTGCTCATTTTTTTAAATCTCTTTCTGTTGAGAAACGTAGCAGTGAACTTTTATTTAGTGCTGATACTGACTGTATAAACCTTCCTTTCTCCAGGCCCATCAGATTCAGGAGATGTTCCCTCAGGTTCCTTATCATTTAGTTCTACAGGATCTGCAGCTAACTCGTTCTGTAGAGATCACCACTGACAACATCCTGGAAGGGCGCATCCAGGTACCTTTCCCCACACAGGTAAGTTGTAAGACCGTGCACCTAAAATGACTGACTGACTTTCTTACCACAGAACTGAGCCTGTTAATTTAAGTGAGGGGAATGAGGTGAGTTGAAGCACTGGTGAATCCAGCTTACCTTAATGTAATATTATTCTTCAGATTTTACGTGTAGAAGATGTTGCAGCTGGAAACACCAAACCACTTCTGGCAGTCTAGTGTACGTTCTATCTCCCACATTGCAAGATCTGACTCAATTGGAATGTCTCACAGTGGTTTGTGATTGAGGTATAGGCATCTGTTCCTTGCTGCGGCCCTTAGCAGATGGCCCTTTAATGTATTAGGATGGGTCTCAGGTGTGATTTAGCATTATCTATTTGTAAAACAAGTGTCCTGGTTTCGGCTGGGACAGTTAATTTTCTTCCTAGTAGCTGGTACAGTGCTATGGTTTGGATTGAGGATGAGAATAACATTGATAACACGCTGATGTTTTAGTTGTTGCTGAGCAGTGCTTATACCAAGTCAAGGACTTTCCAACTTCTCACCCTGCCCTGCCGGTGAGGAGGCTGGGGGCACAAGGAGCTGGGAGGGGACACAGCCAGGACAGCTGACCCAAACTGCCCAAAGGGGTATTCCATACCATAGGACGCCATGCTCAGTGTATAAACTAGGGGCAAAGCTGGCGGGGGGCGGCTGCTCAGGAGCTGGCTGGGCATGGGTCAGTTGGTGGTGAGCAATCGTTTTTCATTTGTGTCACTTGTTTTTCTTGGGTTTTATTTCTCTCTCTTTTTGTTCTTTTCCTTTTCATTACAATTTATTATTATTATTGTTTGCTTTTATTTCAATTATTAAACTGTTCTTATCTCAACCCATGAGTGTTTTCACTTTCACCCTTCTGATTCTCTCCACCATCCCACTGAGGGGGGAGTGAGGGAGCGACTGTGTGGGGCTTAGTTGCCGGCTGGGGTTAAACCACGACAACAGGGTATATTTCATGCCCAGTGTGGGCTTGAAGGGTTGAGATAACGACAGATCTGACCAGAGCACGTTAAAACAAATTTGTTGTCAGCATTCATTGTATTTGTTTAATAGTCATTGGTCACAATGTTGATTTATTTGCTCTCAGAGTTGTCGTGCTTGTTCTCAGAGTTGTGTTGTGTAACACTTTACTTGCTGTATGTGTTTCCTGTTGCACTGTTCATCACCTCTGGGGGCTGGATTAAGGTTATCATGTTGATGCATTGTGTAACACTGGCTTATGATATGATAAAATTACTGGTTGGGAGACTAATGTCTTATTTGTACTCAGCGTTGCCGTCATCTCTGCACTTTGGGAAGCCGTCTCTCAGAAACTATTATTAATAATTACATACTTTATCTTTTCTCCTTGGAGAGTCAATCTGTGGGGGAGACAAGGGTGGACACTTTCCCTTGCTCCCTCACCTTCCCCTTCTCCTTCAGGCTACTCCAACCCTGGCAACAGGCACTGCAGCCGAACCAGAGAACCAGCCCGTGCCTGTATCAGTCACCCCTATGCACAGGAAGAAATGTTGGAAGCGAAAGTCAGCTCATCTAGTAAGGGAAGAAACAGATGCGGCAGACTACTCTGAAGAGGAGGAGGAAGAGACAGAACTCATAAAGGAGGCAGTAACCACACGATCCTTATCTCTGAATCAACTGCGAGATATGCAGAAAAATTTCCGCCGTCGTCCAGGCGAGCCCATTGTCACCTGGCTGCTCCGATGCTGGGATAACGGGGCCGGTAGCCTGGAATTAGACGGTAGGGAGGCCAAGCAGCTGGGATCCCTTTCTAGGGAAAGGGGCATTGATAAAGCGATTGTAAAAGGGGCACAAGTCTTCAGCCTCTGGAGGCGACTCCTGTCAGGTGTGAAGGAAAGGTATCCCTTCAAGGAAGATGTTATGTGTCACCCAGGCAAGTGGACCACCATGGAGAAAGGTATCCAGTACCTGAGGGAATTAGCTGTGCTGGAGGTGATTTATGATTACCTGGATAATGAGCAGTTATCCAAAGATCCAGATGGAGTCAGGTGCACACGACTCATGTGGTGGAACTTTATACAGAGCGCTCCATCACTCTATGCCAGCTCATTGGCAGTGATGACCTGGATTGACAGAGAGGGACAAGTGGTGGATGAATTGGCTGGTGAACTCCGGCAATACGAAGAAAATCTCTCTTCCTCCCTCGTCTTGGCTGTGCAGAAACTCTCCCAAGAGTTCCAGCAACTCAAAGAGGTTATAACCTACTCCCCACCTGTACAGACCGGTATCTCAGCTACTAGGAGTAAGCGTTCTTCTGCTCAAGAGAGGGGATATAGTGGACACACACCACGGGGTACCCTGTGGTTTTACCTGTGTGACCATGGAGAGGACATGAGGAAGTGGGATGGAAAATCTACGTCCACTCTAGAGGCACGGGTGCGTGAGTTGCAAGGAAAACCAGTCGCAAAAGGGGCTTCTTCCAGAAAAATTGCTGCTCGGGTCTCCAGTGGGCAGTTCTGCAGACAGAGAAGAAGGGCTAATCTTACTCTTGATCTTGACAAAGGGACTTCTGATTCATATTTACAAGAAGTGAGTAGCGAATATTCTGACCAGGACTAGAGGGGCCCTGCCTCCAGCCAGGTGGAGGAAAGGGACAGCCAGGTTTATTGGACTGTGTTGATTTGATGGCCTGGCACATCAGACTTACAGGACTGTAAGGCTCTAGTAGATGCTGCTGTAGAATGTACCTTAGTGCTGTTAAGTTACGTATATAAAGGGGCAGAACCCAGTATTTCTGGAGTGACAGGGGCATCCCCACAGCTGACTGTATCGGAGGCTGAAGTGAGGCTAACTGGGAATGAATGGCAAAAACACCCCATTGTGACTGGGCCAGAGGCTTCTGTGCATCCTTGGCGTAGACTGTCTCAGGAGAGGGTATTTCAAGGTCCCAAAAGGGTGTTGGTGGGCTTTAGGTATAGCTGCCTTGGAGTTGGTAAACAGCTGTCTCTCTTGTCTGGTGTCTCGGAGGCCCCTTCTGTGGTTGGGTTGCTGAGGGTTGAAGAACAACGGGTGCCAATCGCTACCACAGAGGTGTACCAGCAGCAATATCGCACCAACTGAGACTCCCTGATTCCCATCCATAAGCTGATTCATCAACTGGAGAGGCAAGGAGTGGTCTACAAGACTTGCTTACCCAACAGCCCCATGTGGCCAGTGCAAAAGTCCAATGGAGAGTGGAGACTGACAGTAGACTATTGTGGCCTGAATGAAGTCATGCTGCTGCTGAGTGCTGCTGTGCCAGACGTCCTAGAACTTCAGTGTGAACTGGAGTTGAAGGCAGCCAAGTGGTACGCCACAAGTGATAGCACTAATGCATTTTTTTTCTCAATCCCTTTGGCAGCGGAGTGCAGGCCACAGTTTGCTTTCATCTGGAGGGGCATCCAGTACACCTGGAATCGACTGCCCCAGGGCTGGAAGCACATTCACACCATTTGCCGTGGACTGATCCAGACTGCACTGCAACAGGGCGAAGCTGCAGAACACCTGTAATACATTGATGACATCATCGCATGGGGCAATACAGCAGAAGAAGTTTTTGAGAAAGGGAAGAAAATAATCTAAATCCTTCTGAAGGCAGGTTTTTGCTATAAAACAAAGTAAGATCAAGGGACCTGCACAGGAGATCCAGTTTTTAGGAATAAAATGGCAAGATGGGTGTCATCAGATCCCAATGGATGTGGTCAACAAAATAACAGTATGTCTCCACCAACTAGTAAAAAGGAAACACGAGCTTTCTTAGATGTTGTGGGTTTTTGGAGAATGCATATTGCAAATTACAGTCAGATTGTAAGCCTTCTCTATCAAGTGACCCAGAAGAAGAACTGTTTCAAATGGGGCCCTGAACAATAAGCCTTTGAACAAATTAAGTGGGAGATTGTTCATGTAGTAGCCCTTAGGCCAGTCCAGATAGGACAAAATGTAAAAAAAGTACTCTACGCTGCAGCCGGGGAGAATGGCCCTACCTGGAGCCTCTGGCGGAAAGCACGTGGGGAGACCTGAGGCTGATCCCTAGGGTTTTGGAGTCAGGGATACAGAGGATCCGAGGCCCGCTATGCTACAACTGAAAAAGAGATACTGGCAGCATATGAAGGAGTTTGAGCTGCCTCTGAAGGGGTTGGTACTGAAGCACAGCTCCTCTTAGCACCCCGACTGCCAGTGTTGGGCTGGATGTTCAAAGGGAGAGTCTCCTCAGCACATCATGCAACTGGTGCCACGTGGAGTAAGTGGATTGTACTGGTCACACAACGGGCTCAAGTAGGGAGCCCTAGCTGCCTAGGAATCTTGGAAGTGGTCACGGACTGGCTGGAAGGCAAAGATTTCAGAATATTACCAGAGGAGGAGGTGACTTGCTGAAGAGGCCCCACTGTATTAATAAACTACCAGCAGATGAGAAGCAGTATGCCCTGTTCACTGATGGGTTCTGTTGCATCGTAGTAAAGCATCAGAGGTTGAAGGCTGCTGTGTGGAGTCCTATACGACAAGTGGCAGAGGCTGCTGAAGGAGAGGGTGAATCGAATCAGTTTGCAGAGGTGAAAGCCAGCCAGCCGGTAGCCAGCTTTAGATATTGCTGACTGAAAAAAGTGGCCGGTGTTGTATCTCTGTACTGACTCATGGGCAAATGCCGTGTCGGGGTGGTTGCAGCAATGGAAGCAGAGCAACTGGCAGTGCAGAGGTAAACCCATCTGGGCTGCCCCATTGTGGCAAGATATTACTCCCCAGCTAGAGAACCTGGTTGTAAAAGTACCTCATGTAGATGCTCACGTACCCAAAGAGTCAGGCCACTGAAGAACGTCAAAGCAACGAGCAGGTGAACCAGGCTGCTAAGACTGAAGTAGCTCAGGTAGATCTGGACTGGCAACATTCGGGTGAATTATTTATAGCTTGGTGGGCCCATGGCACATCAAGGTAGGGATGCAACATACAGATGGACTTGTAATTGAGGGGTGGACTTGACCATGGACACTATCACACAGGTTATCCGTGAGTGTGAAACATGTGCTGTGATCAAGCAAGCCAAGTGGTTAAAGCCTCTGTGGTATGGAGGGTGATGGCTGAAATATAAATGTGGGGAGGCCTGGCAGATGGACTATATCATGCTCCCACAGATTCGCCAAGGCAAGTGCCATGTGATTACAATGGTCGAAGCAACCACTGGGTGGCTGGAAACATACCTGTGCCCCATGCCACCGCCCGGAGCACTCCCTTGGGCCTCAAAAAGTAGTATGGCACCCCAGAAAGAACCGAGTCGAGCAACGGGACTCATTTCTGAAACAACCTCATAGACGCCTGGTCCAAGGAGCATGGCATTGATTGGGTCTATCACATCCCTTATCGGGCACCAGCCTCCAGGAAAATCAAACAATACAATGGCCTGTTCAGGACTACACTGAGTGTGATGGGTGGTGGGACCTTCGGACATTGGGATACACGTTTAGCAAATGCCACCTGGTTAGTCAACGCTAGGGGACCTGCCAGTCGGGCTGGCTCTGCCCAATCAAAACTTTTGTGTATAGAAGGGGATTAAGTCTCTGTAGTGCACATAAAAAATATCCTGGGGAAGACAGTCTGGGTTATTCCTGTCTTGGCCAAAGACAAACTCGTCTGTGAGATTGCTTTTGCTCAAGGACCTGGGTGCGCTTGGTGGGTAATGCAGAAGGATGGGGAAGTCTGATGTGTACCTCAAAGTGATTTGATTTTGGTTGAGAATAGCCAATGGTTTGAATTCTATGCTGTTCATTGCTGTATAATACTGTATGCCACCACTGCTATGGTTGCTATATGCCATATCAACAGTATTACAGTGAGAATCACCCAGAGTAATGAAGAATGAATTTTGATGGAACCAGAACTGGCTTCAGCATGCAACAATCCAACACTGCACACCATCTGTCCTGCCCTGAGGGACTGTTATGACAGATGAAGCCCAAAGCCATGGACTAAATGAACTCAATGGACATTTTAGAGGGATGGCCCACAAGCTAAGAGAGTGATACCTCTGTATATAGACCACCACCACAGGACAGGTGGTAGTGATTAATTGGGATGTGTTAGAAAGTGTGGAACCTGAGCACGACGTAGATGGTATAGAATAAGGGGTGGATATTATCCTGGTTTCGGCTGGGACAGTTAATTTTCTTCCTAGTAGCTGGTACAGTGCTGTAGTTTGGATTGAGGATGAGAATAACATTGATAACACGCTGATGTTTTAGTTGTTGCTGAGCAGTGCTTATACCAAGTCAAGGGCTTTCCAGCTTCTCATGCTGCCCTGCCGGTGAGGAGGCTGGGGGCACAAGGAGCTGGGAGGGGACACAGCCAGGACAGCTGACCCAAACTGCCCAAAGGGGTATTCCATACCATAGGACGCCATGCTCAGTGTATAAACTAGGGGCAAAGCTGGCGGGGGGCGGCTGCTCAGGAGCTGGCTGGGCATGGGTCAGTTGGTGGTGAGCAATCGTTTTTCATTTGTGTCACTTGTTTTTCTTGGGTTTTATTTCTCTCTCTTTTTGTTCTTTTCCTTTTCATTACAATTTATTATTATTATTGTTTGCTTTTATTTCAATTATTAAACTGTTCTTATCTCAACCCATGAGTGTTTTCACTTTTATCCTTCTGATTCTCTCCCCCATTCCACTGAGGGGGGAGTGAGGGAGCGACTGTGTGGGGCTTAGTTGCCGGCTGGGGTTAAACCACGACAACAGGGTATTTTCTTTATGAAGGCAAATCAGAGTCTGTCACCCATGCCCTGTAGCTTGCTACTGATCGGTGTGACTGGACTGCAGGATGCATGAACTGCTTGCCTATACTGTCTTGAACACGTTATGTAGTGCCAAAATCTAGTAAAAAACCTCAGGGTTTGTTTTTTCTTTGTTTAAATCACTGTAAATGCAGTATGTTCAGTCATTTACCAAAAAATATATTGAAAATATCCAAGCTAGATTGGAGACAAATATTTGCTCAGTTAAAGCAGCTCGGTTGCTCTTGTGCAGATCCTTTAGAACATTTCCAGTTGATTTCTCTGCTGACAGATAATTGAATTGTACCACTTAGGAAGGTTTTCTGCAGAGAAGGTAGCTGGCAAAGTGATGCCTTGTTCTTAATTAGTGATAGCGGATTTCGGTAAAGCAGTCTGAGGACCATGTTTCTGTTAATAAGAATATTGAATTCTGGTTGTGGGCACATCAGATAGTACTGTTATCTGGAGTCTGCATGTGGGGAAGCAGAGAGAATTCTGTTTCAACACAATGCATTCTGTTTATTGCTAACTTAACTGTTTCTAAATTGAACATAACACATGATGTTGCAGAGGGCAGAGTTTGAATGTGTTCAAAGAACTCGTTTTTGTTTTGCCATTGCACACACTGTATTAAACCCATGATGTTTGCATTGCAGCGTGCAGATAGCATTAGACCTGCATTGAACAGTTCTGTGGAACGACACAGTACTGATCAGGAGGATACTGAAACTGTCACCCAGGTAATTTGGCATAAAAATGGGCAAAAAGCACAATTAGAACCTGCAGGGCCAGGTAAGTGCATTTGCTTCCGTACCAGGGCAGGTTGGTGGCAGCCCTTCCTTGCATTTCACACCAGCGCTAATGCTGGCAGGCAACTGAAGTAAGGCTTCAGCATGGTGCTCCTGTAAAGAATTATCTGCGTGCCTTTTTTTTTTCCCTCCTTGAAGGAAAGTGCTCTCGAGTGATTCAATGAACAGAAAAAGATCATGTCTGAGTTCACATCTGGTTAGGCCCATGCCCATCTGTGGAGTATTGAAGGGCAAGATGCTTTGCTCTTCCCCTTCCTCTTCCCATTCTGTACATCTTCAGACTCTTCCATTAAAATGAACAGTATTTCTTTTCTGGGTATAAGAAATCCTTCATGTTCTGGAGGAGGCACTTGGGGACATGGGGAGCTCTGGTGTGAATGCAGTGGGGTACAAATAGGACCAAGAGATAACAGCCTTTTTACATATAAAGCACAATAATGGGGCTTTCTGTTCTTCACTAAGGGCTTTATTAATCAGCGTGTGCTAGTGTCTCTGTTTGAAAGACAGGTGTCTGCAGAATAAGGCAGGAGCCTCCCTTGGAATGGAAAATG